AAAAAAAAAAAAAAAAGAAAAGGCAGGAGACTCTGTCTCTAAGCTAACTAACTAACTAAATAAATACCACTTACAGCCATCGCCCAATTCTGCCTTGCATTATAGTTACCGGTATTCTTGACTTGTTTCCCCTTTTTAATTTATAAGTTCCTTGAAGCAGAAATGATATTTTGCTCACATTTGTTTAATTTAACAAGCAGTCATTGAGCAACAGCTATGCTAGATCCTGAAACACAAGTGTGCGTAAAGATCTCTTAAGAAACTCAAAGGAGACAAATATACACAGTAAGCAAATATCGGCCATGGGCTAGACAGATGTTATAAAAAGAGACGCGAAAGAGAACGTGGTCACCACTCCTGTGGTCATGCACAGCTGGGGCAAACACACGGAGGACGAGTCAACGAGCAGACAGAAGCTGGGCCACATAGGAACAGGCAAGGGAACGTGGTCTTTGTCTTGTAGTAATAGAAGCCACTGGAAGTTCTTAAGCAGATCACATTGACTTTTTAAGAAGATCATTCTGGATTACAGGGTGCAGTGGCTCACGCCTGCAATCCTAGCACTATGGGAGGCCGAGGCAGGAGGACTGCTTGAGGCCAGGAATTCGAGATTAGGCTGGGCAACATAGCAAAAAAAAATGTTTAAATTATCTGGGCGTGGTGGTGCACACCTGTAGTCCTAGCTACTAGGGAGGCTGAGGCGGGAGGATCACTCGAGCCCAGAAGTTCGAGGTTGCAGTGAGCTATGATGGTGCCACTGTACTCCAACCTGGGTGACAGAGTGAGACCCTGTCTCAAAAAAAAAGCACTCTGGAATTTTGATGGAGGCGACAAGACTAGGACCTGGGAAATCAGTTTGGAAGTGACTGCAGTAGTCCTGGTGAAAAACGAGGGTCTGAACCAGGGCAGTGATGGAGGGAATGGAGAGAAATAGGTAAATTTAAGAGGTATTTAAGAGGGCAACCTGACAAGGTTAGGGAGAGAGACACTCTGGGCCCATCCCAGTACAGATTTAATAGCTGGCTGGTTAGAAGTGGAGGTTGGTGGCGTGGGAGAGGGTGGCCTTGCCCAGAAGTGGACCCTTAGGGTTCCTATTTGGACTTCCGTGTTCATATCATCTTGAGATCGTACATGAGAGAATGTATGTGTGTTTCTGGGAAGAGAGTCTATACATTTTGCCATTTAACAATCACTGCTATAGTCATAAAAGGGAAAAGGGTGAACTTCAGGGGAAATACCAACACTTAGGGATTATGCAAAAGAAGCCAGCTTGGGGTGGAGAACAAGGCCTCGTTTATATGACTTCCTCATGAGAGAGTTGTCGAGTTAAAGATAAAATCTGGTAGCTTTTCCTCTCAGATTTAATTATTATCAATCACAGATGAATTGAATCGTGGGTCTTATTCCTAGATCTTTCCAAAATCTTTCTAACTCACTCAAAATCTTAGCCTTCCAAGCCCTGGAACCTGTGAGCTTTTTTTTTTTTTTGTGGAAATTCCGTCTGCGAGCCTTCCCTGTTTTACCAGTTGTTCTCCTCATTACAGGCTGTTAGAGCTAATCAAAGAAATGGACTTTGAGTTTGTCTTTTGAGATTTAAGAGCAGCCGGAGGATTTCTGCTGGGCCTCCCGCATATCCTATACATCTGCAGAATACAGAGGGTGGGGGCAGAGGGGATGTCAGGAAGGGTGACAGGGAGTTAGAGGCTTGATACGAGCCCAGGCTTTCCCCAGATTGCCTCTGTGTCTGGGTTTTCTTTTGGGGAGACTTGGCTGCTACTTTTACTCATTCAGGTGATTAACTGCATGTTCATCTTTAAAGTCCTCTGAGCTTCTTGTTGCCTTTAGCAACAGCCAAGCACATGGGTTTTATAGGCTCTGTTTCTGACCAAACCAGAGATCCGAAGCCCTTCAAGGTGATACAGGATGGGAGCCCGGCGCCCTCCCTGACATCTGGACACCCTCTATAGGAACCACCACCCCCGCCATGCTGCTTCATCACTGCCCACCCACACCACGCTCAGACCGTTTTCACCATTAGAACGACAGCTCTTCCTTGGCCTGAGCAAATTCCTCTTCCCTAAAACATGTGCACACTGATGGAACAATTTCTACCGAGGGGCAGTTTCGCATCCCCCAAAACATTTGAAATTAACACTTAGAATTTTTGTCCTTTGTTATTTGTATGCTTGTTACGAGGTGTTTGTAGTAGATGGGGCGAGTAGAAATAGAGATTAACTTTTATTTTGTATTTCTTTATCATTTTACCAATTATTTCACGTTGACTGTAAACACACCAAAAAAATGCAGATAGGGTAATAGACGAAAATGAATTTCCCTATGATCCCACCATTCGGAGCGAATTACTGTTAACATTTTGTTTGGTCTATGGCTTTCCAGACTTTATTCTGTGAAACAGAAATGGGACTGTGTTATACACACTGTTTTGAAATCCATTCTTTTAAATTGAACATTTACTGTGAATGTCTTCTGTATTAATATATATGCTATTGATTTATCTGTATCAATTTATTCTTATATCATGTTAATTCATATTCTCATTTTTGTGGCTGAATTATGTTTCACTGACTGCATTAAATCAGGCCTTGAACACACATTTTGTTGGGGTGAAGCCTGATGCTGTGACTGCTGAATACCTCCTAGTCGCAGACCACCATGGGTGCCCGTGGATCTGAATCTCAGGCCCCTGGTGGGTACACAGGCTCGTTGTGAGTGTGTCACAGCTGACGTACTCGGGTGGCAGGCCTGCCTTCCCCGCCCAGTGAGAGCTTCTGCCTCACGTGCCAATTTATTGCATAATTGCCCAGAAGGGCCAGTCATGCTTCCCGACAAAGACTGGGAAGACACTTCTCAAACACCAAGTCTAGCAGCACTGAGACCCCTCCGGCTTCTCTTCGAACTTCCCCAGCTTATACAACACTGGACACTTACTTCTCTGTCCGGTAGTAGAGCATCCCTCGTTGGAAGTAAGCGACCGCCAGGTGCTTGTCTTGGTTAATGCTTTTGGTAAAGGCCTGCAGAGAGAAGGCGCCATACATGGCGTGGAGCAGGCAGTGAGGAGGAGTGAGATGAGCCGTGGGGAGTCAAAAAGGAGCATGAGAATGATTGAGGTCTTGAAGGCAATGAGAGGCCGAGGGTTCAGACACCCTGGGTCAGAACACTCGGTGTTGTCACTTCCTCATTGCACGGCATGCGGCCAGTTACCTAATCTCCTTGGACCTTAGTTTGCTCTTCTGTAAAATGGGGATATTACTAGCTGCCTTCCAAGATTATGGGTAAGATCAAAATAATAAAATTGATTGAAAATGAAAATAAGATAATTAAAATATATAAATCGTCATATGTGTTTATTATGCAAATTTGTTTCTTACATGACTATCATGCAATTAAAATACTAACGCATAAGATTGCATCTAAAATGCCAGTAGGAAGGGCCCAAGCAGGAAAACAAAGAACGGCAGAGGGAGCGAGAAGGCCAGAAGCAGAAGAGCGAGAGGAGAAATGGAGAGCTGTGAGCGCGAAGGCCTGGGAGCTGGGAGGTGGGCAGTGGCCCTACGGCCTCGCCAAGGACCCCACGTCCCGGACAAGGCGAGAGCACAGGGTCCCTGCAGGCACAGCTCTGCCCAGACCGGCTTTGTCCTCTGCCAACCTCGTCTCCCGGGCCAGGTGTGCTTTGTCTCCATCAGCCCTCAGGATGTGTCGTGCTGCCGGCTCAGCGCCCAGCAGCCCCCTGAGATAAATACTGAGGGGAGGTGGCACCACTGTCCTCCCTCCAGCCAGAGGTGGGGGACCCTCGCAGGCCTGAGATCCACTTGTCAGGCCGTGAGAGCATTTCCAGCCACTTCTCTCTCTTCCCGTCAGGTGTGGCCGAGGCCTGTTTACCTGCCGGTGAGTCAGGGCGATTGTGGGAGGAACTGGCTCTTTAAGGGCACTGGGGGTCCGTCACCCTCACGGGTCCACACACTGCCTTGCAAAGGCTGGCAGTAAAAGGCGAAAACAATAACTAACTCGAATCCAGTGGTGTGAATTTGCAGACCACATTGATAGCTGGTGTCTTCCTTAATGTTTACGCTATTGAAACTCTCAAGAAGTTGCGAGCCAGGAGTTTATGTGGCTTGCTTTAGACCAAAAGTCCAGAAAGAGGCAGGGCTGGGATTTGATCCCAGATATTCTGCATCCAAACTCCGTTCCCTTTCCACCTTACCATGACCTATCTAGACAATGATTGTTGCGAGTGCTCAATCCATAGCAGGTATTTGAGAGATAAAAAAAATATTCGAAAAGAACACTAATACATACTGTGCCCTTGGCAGATATCACTAATCAATCATGCTATGATTTCCTTCTGCCAACCTCGGAATCCTTCTAAGAGTCCCTCCACGTAATTGATCAGAATCGTCACTTGAGATAAAACCTGTTTTTTTATAAGTGCCTCCCCTCCATGTCTTGGGTGGGCAAAGCTGACACACAGATTCTTGGGAAGCCAGAAGCGGTGTCTTATAACCAGGTGCGAAGTGGTGAGACGGATGGGGATCCTGTGTCCAGCAGATCTTTGAAGAAAACATAACTAGGGGAGTCTCCACAAAGTTGTTAAAGAACGATTCCAGAGCGATCTGAATGTAGCAGATGGAGAAGGAAGGGGGCAACGCAGGCTGCCTGTTACAACCACCTGGGAGCTTCTAACCTGAAGCCCCCAGACCCGTCCCCAGACCAATTCCACCAGGCTCTCTGGGGGTGGGGCCCGGGCATCTTTGTTCCTTTGAAAGCTCCCTGGAGGTTAGATTTCTAAGTGCAACCAGGTGCAAAGCCGTAATTACGAGGCACGGAGGAGGCCCCGGAGAGGCGCCTGCACTCACCTTCTCCGCGGCAGGCGTGTTCTCCAGGATGGTGTGCACGCAGCCGATGTTGAAGCAAATCCGCGAGTGGGGGTCCTGGACCGCGCTGAAAGCGTCCAGGGCTCCCTTCCAGTCCTTCTTGTCGGCTGCCAGCACCCCTTCATTCCAGAGGCTGATGGCCTCGGCCAGGGACATGGTCAAGTGGGAACCGGGAGGCCGGGAGAGCTGTCAGGAGAAGAGGAGAGGCTGCCCCACGGCCCCCAGGGCTTCCCCTCCCAGGCCTGGTGACGAGATGGGCCCGGCCTCCCTTGAGACGACTGATCGGTGTTGCAAATGTGCCAGGAAATGTCCCCACCTTTCGGCAACTGACGCATAGCCCCACCGTGACAAAGAAAAGGAGAGCAGTAGCGGGGCGGAGTGTGGAGGAGGGAGGAAGTGCACCCACCGGATGCTGCCCGGGAGGCCCAGTTCCCCAAACTGCTTCTGCTCTGTCTCTCACCCCTTCTGCAGCAGCTTCTTGGCCAGTGCTCTGCCCCAGCCCCCGGGCACCTTGGCAGATCCGTGGTCTCCCCAGCCCTCGGTTTCCGCACCTGTGTTACAGGGGTGTTGGATGAGAGCGTAGTTCCTTCCTGGCCTCAATGAATTCCTCGCTTGCTTTCTCACAACCCCATAGACTGTATTGATATGTTGGTTTTGATCTTGAGCTAAAACCAGCAATTAACAAATTTTTGAGAGAGGATGGTCTTGGGTGTCCATCTGGGTCTGAAATAAACTTTTACGAACACTCAGGAAGTTTAGAGGAGACCAGTTTCCTGAAAATGCCAAAGTTGGGAGCCAGGTATGACAGCGAGTTACGACTTCACCTGTCCTTCCGTGAAAGACTGAAGTGAGGAAGGATCTGTATTGATCAATAACGCGTTTACTAGTCTTAGAAAAAATAGACTTAAGATTCCTTTCCTTGTTGCTCTGGAAAAGTGTATGTCGGTAAAACCTTCCTGAGGAATAATTGGGTGTAGCGGGTATGACCAATTTGACTTACTAAAATCCTGACGTCTTGTTAGGCAAAATGCCTGTGGATGAGGGTCAAATACTTAGATGCCAACTTTTGTTTTGTAGCAACTGAAGAACTCACTCATTATCACCAACCTTCCCCTAAAAGCCTGAAAATAAAACTTAAAAATGTACATTCCACAGGGCTTGTAGGCTTGAAGGTGTGAGAATTAAGAAGATGTGTGTGCGTGTGTGTGTGTCCTTTTACAGACCATTTCTTGTGTTTGGAAGGCCTTTCCATCTCACTTTTTGCCTGGCAAACTCCTACTCATCCTTCAAGGCCCAGCTGAAATGTCACCACTCCTGTGAAATATAGTCCCTAACTCCAGGTAGTAGAGAAAATTTTTCCCTCCTTTGTACCATCTCTTCCCAAACACTTACATTATATTTATCATAATTTATCTCTTTATCTGCTCAACTCTTAGTCCCCTTGAGAGTTGGGACCACGCCTTTTCATTCCAGAATGCCCAGCACCAATACTCAGTCAATGATGAAGGGGTGCGTTCTAAAAGAAGTTAGAAATCATTGGTAAATGACGCAGGTAGCAGTGATGCCAGGACAAGGTATTGCTATTCCATTCAGTGAATAAATAATCCAGATTTAGGCAGGGCATAGTGGCTCATACCTGTAATCCCAACACTGTGGGAGGCCAAAGTGGGAGGATCATTTGAGCCCAGGAGTTTGAGACCAGTCTGGGCAACATGGGGAGACCCTGTCTCTACAAAAAATAAAAATAAAAACTTGAATAGCACATTAATTATTCCTAGGAAAGCCAAGTGGATTTGTAGCTAAGTTAGACTTATTTAAAAAAGTGGTTTTGCCCTCTTACTTATTATCCTAGCCTGACACTCAGAGTTTTCCTTAATCAGACTCCCAAGACTTTTCTAGCCTTATCCCCCAAACAATTCACAATTCCATACGAGCTCTACTACTTGCTCTCCTCCCTCATGCCTTCGTTTCCTGCATCTGTGCCTTGGCTCACACTAGATCCCCCTCCTGGGCTGCCCTATCCCATGTCTGTACCTTAAACCACCTTGTACAGCCTTTGATGCCTGCTCAAGTATTGCCCTCCTTAAAACACTGCCCTGACGTCGGGCCTGCCCCAAACCCATGACCTCACCTTCTTCTGAACTTCTGCATCTCCTTCCCTGCACCTCCCATGTGGCCCTTAATCCCTCTTCACCAGAGTAGGATTATGTGTGGGGCATGTCTCAGCACCTCAAATAGACTATACCCCTTGGGAGGAAGTCCTGGGACTAACCCTTCCTTGTATCCCCCTGGGCACTAGCAATGTTTTTCTGCAGATCCGAATCCTGCCCATCCTTAAAAGCTCTGCTTAGACTCACCTCCTCCATGCAGTCTCCCTGACCCAGGTTATTCTCAGTAATTTCTCTTTCTGTGAATTCCTACAGCATTTTATAATCAAACCCCAAACACAAGGGCTCTACATTACATTATCTATTTTCTGCCTTATCCATCCAGCTAGCTGCTCGTTGGGAGCAGGCAGCTTGCCTCCTATGTCTTTACATGTTCCACAGACATCTGTGGCCAAGGCTTAGTAAGTATGTGCTGATCTAAATAGTTTTTTAAAAAATATGGCTGATCCGGCTTGATTCTAGTCCTGCACATCTTAGTAACTGTCTCTTTTTGGATGCAATTGCCTTTTTTCGTAATGTATTTTCTTTGCAGATTACCCATCTACTAAACTTGATCTACTCATAGAGCCAAGTGTCTCTTTTAGACGTGCTCAAGACTCCATGGGTCTTTTTCTCTAGGGAGATACAAGCCTCTAGACGGTTCATTTGTGTGTTTCTTCAGCATGTTTCCCTCAGGTAAGTGTTCCCAAGCTCGTGGGTATCTCAGGGGGAGCCTGGTCTACACAAGACAGTTCCTGATGTCAAAGGAGTGGAAACTGACCATGCTATGATCCAAAAAGGAAAGAAGGAGGGGTGCAGAAGAGTTAGAAATGTACCCCACATTTAGCAAAATAGGATTTTTAAGGATTCTCTTTTGCTTCGCCTGTAATGCCCCTAACAACTAAAACAGCATCTGGACATATGATAAATATTCCTGAATGAGGAATGAGTAAGTGGGGAGGAGACACCTGTTAGGGTGTGTTCCTTCTTCTTCTTCTCTAGGAAGTGCCTGTCTCATCCACAGTAGGAGGGTGGGCCCTGTGGCCATGTGGCTGCTTACACCGTGGTGGGCAGCTGACCAGCTGGGCCCAGTAGGTTCTGTCTCCTGTGAATCTGGATTCAGGATGGAGAGATGTATAAACTTATGAGCTGTGGTTCTACCATGTTCTGTCCTGAGGCGCAGGAAAGCAGAGGAAGCCATGCTACATAGACGGAAGGAAGCAGGTGTCCAGTGAGGAGCAGAGACACAAGAAAGACTTTTCAGCCCCTGGTTCCAGCCTTTCCTGAGGCCCATCCAAATTTCCACCCCAAGCCTAAGCCCTTACAGTAAGGGCTGTTTGCTGTAGTTAGTTTTCTTGTATCCCCAAATAAGACTTGACTAGTAAAAAATTGAAAGCAAAAACATCCACTTCAGAGAATTTTGTGGCAAATATGCATTTTCCCGCTAATACAGATATGCAAAAAAGAGAAGTCTCTATTTTTCCCAACTTTCTATTTTTAGTTCTCTGTTTCTTCTGGAGGCAGAAAACATAATCTTACTCAGTTCCAAGCATACTTAGGCACTGAAGGTTGAAAAAATTGATGTGAGCCCCTGACCCGAGGCTCAAAAGCAATAGATTGCCAAAGAGAGACGGGAGATTCTCAGAAACAAACAGCCACTTATTACTCAGGAAGCCAAAGATGAAGGAGAAAAGGAGGCAATGGGACTCCCCAGGGAACTCCCTGAGAAGGCCAGACACATGGATGATGGAAGCCATGGCTCCTGACCAAGGAAAAATCCAATGCTTGGCTGAGATCAAACCAGAGTATAAGGAAAACCAAAGCCCAGAGTGAGCTGACGCTGCGAAAAATACTGAGCACAACACAAGGTCCTTTTCGTATCAGAGGACCAAGTGCAGGGAGGGCCGTGGCTTGGTGCAGATGGTGTCATGCTGACAGATGTCAGAGAGAAAGCAGAACTCCTCAGCTCCTATTTTGTTTCCAAGTTACACAGGGAACTGAAGTCCCAGACAGAGGATGGTGGAAAGCTGCTAGCTGCTTTATTTACAAAAATTCCATTTACCAAATCCAGACTCATTAAATCCCAGGAACCAATAGAATTTGCAAGTGTGATCCCTAAAATCTTGTCAGTAACTGAAGCATCATGAAGAGGAGGTTGAATGCTGGAAGCCAGGATCGATGGGCCAGTGTGTTTTTAGTTTTCTAAAAGCTGTGAATTCTAGAAACAACATCGAAGATTGATGGGCTGACCTCTGGGAAGAGTTTTAAAACCTATATTATTAAACAAAGGTGCTTGGAAACAAAAAGGAAGCTGGGACTTTGAGGAACTAGCATGAGTTTACTAAGAACAATTCAGGTCAAAGCAAACTCTTTTCCTTTTTTGAGAGGACTTTCCTGATAGGTTGATTGAGGAGTTGCCTTATGCAAATATCAGTAAGATATTTGGCCAAGATATTCCTTAGACAAGAGAGTTTAGACAATTTAGTTGGCTAAATATTAGACAATTTACTTGGCTGAATATTATGTCTACAGAATCTTCTTAACCTATTAATGTCATCTGTGCTTTTAACCTTTCTATAAACAATTGAGATCAGATTTACAAATAACTCAAAGCTTGGAGAGAGAGTATCAACACGTACGTCAGCATCAGAATTAAAATATTGCCAGACTCACGTTGATTCACAAAAACTCCCAGGTGAACTTTCTCGGGATAAATGTGTAGATCGCTCCAAGTTTCAAAACTCAACTGCCCGAACATAGGGAGAAGACAACTCTTAAGAGCAGGGCATTGGAAGAAGCCTCACCATTTGGGACGACTGCAAGCTCAGTCCGAGTCAACACAGTCGTGTGGTTGCCAACAGCTAACGCAATCTCAGGCTGCGTGAACAGAAATGCAGCCAATTCTTGCGTCAGTTGGTTCTTGACTCAACCACCCACCCAGAGACCTGCATAATCTCTTAGTGTATTACAAGGTGCAAAAAGATCATATCAATTTCCAAAGCTGACAACTAGCATCTTTCAGAGCAAAGCCCCTGGATGAATTGGTATGTTGCCTTTGAGGGGTCCCAGGACCCTGTTAATTACGAGGAGCACCTAAAAGCAGTGAAAGAAAATCCCTTCTCTAAAAAGTCCATGGCCACAGTTAAAAAAATCTCAGGTCAGTTCTCAGCCGATTCTGGTCTAGCACATGACCAGGAAATGAAGCCGCGTGGGTCTCACTCACGTAGCTCAGCCCACACCACAGGCAGGG